AACCATCTAGTAGAGAATTTGAAATTTAATATTTTAAAATTTGTAATCTCATCAAAATCATACATAAGATTTTATTGAACAAGAACACTTTCTACACACATAAAATCATCAACATCTTTATATTTATATTTTCAACAATCTAACTAATGGATAAAACCCCCAAAATTTAAATGAACATTGTTGCTTTAGTTTTCCCAAAGACTCTTGGCTTCAGAGAAAGGTATCCCTAACTCAAGAATAGGTATCTACATATGCAATATCAGAACGTGAAAGAGCCCTGAAAAGTCACCAATTACAAACATATAAAGGGGCTGGTGAGATGGCTCAGTGGTCTAAAGCACCTACTTAGAACAAACTTAGCAAAGCACAGAGACCACAGTTCAATCCCCCAGCACCACATGCCAGCCAGCCCCGCCCCCTGGTGGGCTGAGCTGGCCATACACACACACGCACACACACACACAAAAAAAACACACACAAATATAAATAAATACAAACATATAGACACACACACACACACACACAGGCACACATGCACACATTCACATGATCTGGTGAATGCAAAACTCTTTATTCTATCAAATGGTTCCTATCAGGCAGGAGTTAGTCTAGTAGTACTTCAGCAAACGTTTTTAAAGAAAGATTCTTTTAATTGAATCAAACACCAAACTCCAAACCAATGGAGAAAGAGTAAACACAACTCCAGACAGCAAAAGTGAGCTTATGCATATACCCAGTGCCCACCAATATTCCACTCAAAATCTTCACTGAAATAACTGAACAGTTTTAAAAAGTAAAACTATAAATGAAAATACCTGGAGAAAAAATCTGTATTGTCACTAGAAATCACAAAACAATGGCAAACTGCAGATTTATAATGCCTCCAAGAAAAAAAATGCTGGTAAAGCTTCTAGCAGTAGCACTCATGCTGAAGCTAACATGTTAAAATGAAGTTTAGAGACAAGAGATAGAAAAGAGAAGAAAAAGCCACCACTGCTCCACAACCAAATAAAAACACTGAGTTTTGAATAAAAAAAGTCAACAATGAAAACAAGAGCTTTAGCAGTAAACCGCCCTGTCTCATAGTCTTATTATACTCTGCCCATATTCCCTGTCAATCAGAAACACAATGATCTACCAACATAAAAGTGTTGCAAATCTAAAATTTTCCCTCCCTTCTTTCACCTACACTTCAAATACTACAATATGAATCCACATGTTTCAAAAGTCCATCTCAACCAGCAATAATAGAACACATATTGACACATCCCACAATCATAATCATAAACTGTCCTAGGGGGCTGGAGAGATGGCTCAGTGGTCTAAAGCACCTACTTGAAACAAGCTTGGCAAAGCACAGGGACCTCGGTTCGATTCTCCAGCACCACATGCCAGCCAGCCCCGCCCCCTGGTGGGCTGAGCTGGCCACACACACACAATAAATAAATGTAATAAATAAAAATAAATATTAAAAAAAAAATTCAATCCCCTGTAACAGCAACAAAAAATTAAAAAAAAAATTAAAAAAAAAAATAAAAAAAAAATAAACTGTCCTAATAGATACTTTAAAAGACTTAGTAGCTGAAAGCTTATTCTATCAATTGGAGCAAAGAAATTTCTCTGAAAAATTTACAGAGATGAGAGAAATTAGAGTATCAATAAAACTTCCAAAATTTAGAAATCCCAGAGAAATTTAAGAGAAGACTTTGTATGTGAAAAGAAAACTATCTGAAATCAAGAAAGGCTGCTTTTGGCCACAACACTGAATAACTTTCGAAATAAATGCAATAGGGACAATAAGCAGATTGCAAAAGACACAAAAAACAAAGACTTGCTTGAAAATTTCTCATATGTCACAAAAGAGAAAGGACAAAAGGCGCATTGTTCAGAACAGCTCTTCTGCTGAGAACAACTGAAGAAACTAGATAAAATATAAAATATATGTGTGTGGGAAATCAAAGCAATAAGGAACTAAGGGATGAAGATTGAGAAAGCAAGAAAATCTAGAGGTTCATCCGCTATTTGGGGCTCCATTTTGCTCACAAGTATCCCATTCTAAAGGCTACTGCTGAAGAGGCTGAGATGATCACAGCTTTCTATAGATCCATGCCCTGGTAGGAAAAAAAATTGGTGTGAGGTCCTGTCAAAAAGGCAAACAAACCCCTTAAGCTGTGGATTAGAACTGAAAAGGACCATACCTAAGAAGTATTTCAGTTCATAGAGTTGAAAACTCAATTTTAAATTGCCTCAATCCCTGAATGGATTAAAATGCTTTGAGATTATTAGTGTTTCTAACATAATCACCTACCAGAAGCAAAGGTAAATTCTAAGACAGCATCATCCAGATCATCTCTTCATATACAATACCTAGGACTCTATCACAAACAAGCATATGAGAAAACAAGATAGCTCCACAATTCAGAAGACATAAAGGATATAAAAGCAACCCCTATCCCAGGAATATAATGAGATGGTTAAAAAGGAATAGAAATACAAAACAGAAAGCTTCAGCAAAATCATGAAAACTATAAAGAAAATAAAATGGAATTCTAGAATAGAAAAAGTCAACAGGTAAAAATAAGGACTCAATAAAGTGTAGAGTGTATGAAGTCAAAAGAAACTGTTGCTGTTGTCCTAAGCAACCAAAGCCAAGCAGAGAAGTTAAAATCTGTAGTTTTTCTGAACCTATCAGAAAGAGAAGTATGCAAAGAAACCTAAGTGAACCAAATTCCAATGGGACTGAAGAAATATTTGAAGGGACTGGCCAAATACTTTCCAATCTGATGAAAGTAGGCATCCCACAAATACCAGAAGCTCAATAGGCAGATAAATACAGTGGAAAAAAAACACAACAAGGCATAGCATAGTAAAATTTCTGATAAGCACAACTGAAAGGCAACTCTTAAAAAAGTGGCCCAAGGTTAGGAGTGGGGGGAGGAGAGATTAACCAAAAGAGAAAAAGATTACACCTGACTCACCAGAAAGAGATGAAGTTCAGCAAACAATGGAATGACATATTAAAGTACTGAAAGAAAAAAACTATCTTCCTAGAACTATACACTTAGTATCCTGCCCCCCAAAACATGTAGAATTTAAATAAAATATAAATATTTTGAGAGTTAAAAGCTAAGAGAATTAATTTCCAGTAGACCTAACTAAAGACTATTTCTCCAAGCAGAAAAGTTTCCCACACAGAAGCTCAGAGACACAGAAATAAATGAAGAGTAACTGAGAAAGTAAATATGAGTACAAATCTAAAGGAATAAAGACTTAGGGAAAGAAGTGATTTGTAGAATCAATTAAAATGCACAACAACTATATAAAAATCAGAAGTGAAAGGCAAATGGTTAGAACCCTTCTATTGTCTATGAAATAATACAAGTATAATCAAAGATACATTTAGGAACCACTATCCACTGTCAAGCTAAGAGTGGGGAAAACTGGATAAAAATAATCAAAAAGAGAAAAGGGAGAAAAGAGAACAGAGAATAGGCAGGGCAAATAAGAATAATGAAATGGAAGTTACAAAGCCAAGGTTATTACCTATTACATTAAAAAGTTATGTCCTGTTAAAAATACAAAATTTGGCTTTCTCCACCTGTGGTCTGCTCAGCCTGCAGGTCTGCATAGACCGTGGATGTGGGTCTATATTACACGGGATGGGTTTTTTTTAAGGTTGTCAAGAATAAAGAGATACCAAATGAAGTTTAGAAGACAATGAGAGAGCAAAACTGATTACTATGTTAGGAAACACTTGGCAATCCAAGTCAAAAATAAGTACAACACACATAAATGCAGGGTGACCGTTCATGTAACTAACAGAAATATCAACTGTCAGATTGCTTATGCCCATATTGAAGGGGATATGATAGTCTGTGCAGCATATGCACTTGAACTACCAAAATATGGTGTGAAAGTAGGCCTAACAAATTACTCTGCAGCATATTGTACTGGCCTGCTGCTGGCCCGCAGGCTTCTCAGTAGGTTTGACATGGATAAGATCTATGAAAGTCAGGTGGGAGGGCTGGGGAGACGGCTCAGTAAAATAAGCACTTGCCTGGCAAGCTCAAGGGCCTGAGTTCAATCCCTGGTTCCGAAAGAAAGGAAGGAAGGAAGAAAGAAAAGAAAAGAAATGAAATGAAATTCAGGTGGAAGTGACTGGAGATGAATACAATGTGGAAAGCACTGATGGCAAACCTGGTGCCTTCACCTGCTACTTGGATGCAGGCCTTGCCAGAACTACAGCTGGCAATAAAGTTTTTGGAGCCCTAAAGGATGCTGTGGGTGGAGGCTTGTCTGTCCCTCACAGTACCAAATGGTTCCCTGGTTGTGATTCTGAAAGCAAGGAGTATAATGCAGAAGTACATCAGAAGCACATCATGGGTCAGAATGTCGCAAATTATATGCGTTACCTAATGGAAGAAGATGAAGATGCTTACAAGAAACAGTTCTCTCAGTACATAAAGAACAATGTTATCTCCAGACATGATGGAGAAGGATAAGAAAGCTCATGCTGCTATATGAGATAATATGAAAAGAAGTAAAAAAGAGAAATTAAAAAGAAGTGGAACCATCCCAAAATGTCCCTTGCCCAGAGGAAAGATCAGGTCGCTCATAAGAAGGCAAGCTTCCTCAGAGCTCAGGAGCAGGATGCTGAGAGGTAAACTATATTTCTATAAAGATTTTTCAGATAAAGACCAATAAACTTATTCATCAAGCAAAAAAAAAAAAATTTTCAGAAAAATACAACAAAAAATACTACACACTCTATATACAAGTATTCTATAAGACTACAAAAACGGTGAAAACAGAAATTAAAAGATAGAAACATTTAAACACTAAACAAGGGGCCAACTATATATCTCAGCAGCACACTGCCTGCCTGGGAAATGTGAGGTCCTGAGTTTGATTCCCTGTACCAACAACACCACCACCACTAACCAACATACAGCTGATAGAGTTACATTACAGTAAGACAGCTCAGCTTTAGGAATGAGTATGTGCTCCCTTCAGCAGCACATATACTAAAACTGGAGCAATACAGAGAAGATTAGCATGGCCTCTGTGCAAGGAGGAATGAATAGAATTTCAAAGGTAACAACAGTCCACTCACTAGAAATATAATTCTGAATTTGCATGCATTTACTATCATAGTCTCAAAATATAAAAAGCATAAAATGACACAAATAAAAGACAAATACAATGCCAGGGATGTTGCTCATCAGCACAGCACTTGCCTGGCAATCATGAGGTCCTGAGTTTGATTCCTGATACCAAAAAATTAAAGTATAATTTTTTTTTTAATGTACTTAGGACAGGGTCCACAGGTCTACATGGTCTCACTACATAGATCAGACAGACTCACAGTGATTCTCCTGTTTTCAGCCTCCCAAGCACTGGGATTACAGGCACCTGCCACCACCATGCCCAGTCTCAATCACCACCTCAGTGCGCCCCAGAGGTGGGGCCAGCACAGCACACCGGGAGTAAAATATAATTTTTAAAAGGCAAGTAAAATTTCATAGAAAACAGAGACAAGAAAGTACATGTACTTCCTCCAACCTCTTTCCTAGCATCACAGATCAATCTTTAAAGATTACATTATGATTTCATCACCTAATAACCACTTTTCCATTAAATAACAAATAATTAACATGAGAATAAAAATGAAACCTTGAAGAAATGATTACTGACCAAGTACATTTCTGTTGGTTTTTGCCTTTGCTGTGCCTCATACCACTGTTATGTCCTAGCCAAGAAAACAAAACTACTTATCTAAAAAAACAATGTGTGGCTGCAAAATCACTCAAATCCTCAGAAACAAAGTCAAATTTCCCAGACTACACACATACCCTTATTCCTATCACCAAAAACTCATTCATTTAGCAACCAAATTATACCAGATATTAGATAAAAATATAAACCAAATTAAATAAGGATTATCTAATTTTCCTGTCTTTTTTAGCTAGCTGCTCTATCTAGTAGCACACAAAAACAAGAACAAGAAGAATGAAAACAATTGATGCTTAATAAGATAACCCAGGCTCAGGGCTGGCCAAATAGCTCAGCGAATTAAAGCGCCTGCAAGCAGGCACGGGGGCCAGGAGTTCGATTCCCCTGGCCTGCTGTGCTGGCCCCACTCCCAGGGCATGCTGAGACAGCAATTGAGATTGGGTGTGATGGTGTGTGCCTGTAATCCCAGCTCTTGGGAGGCTGTAAACAGGCAGATCACTACAAATCCAATCTAGTAGTGAGACCCTGAACACCCTGTAGACCCTTCCCTAAAATTAAAAAAAAAAAAAAAAAAAAAAATAACCGAGGCTGTATTCTAAATACGGACACGGGGCTGGGGAAATAGCTCAGCAGAATAAGCACCTGCCTGGCAAGCACAAGGCCCTGAGTTCAATCCCTGGTACGGCAAAGAAAAAAAAAAAAAAAAAGCCTTCCTAAATATGAACACATATTAACCCATTGTTTACCTCATCCCAATAGGACAGATGGTGAGTATAAATACTATTTAAAAAATTACTCAAAATTGTCTTTCTATAAACCATCATTCCTTCTACCATCCTAACTCAGGGTCAAACCATGACTAGGTGTCAGACAAAGAACCAGCACTGTGTACTCGAGAATTATCCTACTTATCTATACATGTTTCTCACTAAGCTATACAGGAGCAAAATAAACCTTAGTATTTTACATAATTCTTATTCTAAGTACAGTTGCAGTAGGTTACTTCTTCCTTTAGGAAACTCAATTGAGGACGTATGCTAAAATTTTTGCCCCCAAATCTTTTTTTCTTCTAAGTGATATGCTCTATTTTCATGATGTAAACTGCACTCACTTGAATCAGCTAATTCCTGAATGTACATTTCAAGGCCATACCTCTTATCAGAGCTCTAATGCTATAAACCCTTTACAGAAATGTTTTGCTAGCATCTTAGGCTCAGTGTCCGAAATAGTCTCCAACAAGCAAGACTATGAAGTCTGAACACAACTAGTATGTGTGGCAAGGGTGTATGGTATAAATCAGCTTTTTGACAAAAAACTTGGAAATAATCCCCAGAATTTAATGTGTGTACTCTACCTTTCAATTTCACATCTACAAAGTCATTAAATGATATACTTGCACATAGGCACAAGACATTTATAAAAGTAGGCTCACTGCATCATTTGTTTGTGTTATAGTTTAGACCTCAAACATCCCCTCACAGTCTGAAGGGCTCAGAGATGGGGGTTTCGGAAGGTAATAGGGACATTACTCATCAGTGGATTCATAGTCAAATGTGCATTTATTACAGATTTTTTTTTAATGTACTGTTAGCAGGTGAGGGTTGGTTAGAAAAGGAAAGTCACTGGGAGGTGTGACATGGAAAGAGGGTGTATTTTTGTCCCTGGTTCCTCTCTTCTTTCTTTGATCCCTGACTCTAATGGGCTGAAAGCCTTCCTCCACCACATCACCATGTCACTTCTACCTTGGAGCCAGCCCACCATGCCTGGATAGAACCTTCAGAAACCATAAGCCAAAATCGACCTCTCCTCCTTTAAATTTGAGTGTCAGGTATTTTGTCCTGGAAGTGCAAAAGTGATTAATACAGTTTGTAAACAAAAAATTGAGAGCATAAAAAGAGAGGAAACCACACACACACCAAAAAAAAAAAAAAAATCTAGTTATACAGAGATTATGATACATCAATTAAAACAAATCATATGGATAGCAAAAGAACTGATAAATTTTATATGTACATAGAAAAATGTCCTAATCCTGGGCTGGCCAAATAGCTCAGCAGATTAAAGCGCCTGCAAGCAGTCGCAGGGGCTGGGAGTTTGATCCCCAGGCCTGCTGTGCAGGCCCCACCCCCGGAGCACACTGACACAGCAGTTGAGACAGAGCGTGGTGGCACACACCTGTGATCCCAGTTCTTGGGAGGCTGTAAACAGGCGGATCACTACGAGTCTGACCTAGTAGTGAGACCCTGAACACCCTGTAGACCCTTCCCTAAAATACAAAAAAAGAAAAAAGAAAAATGTCCTAGAACAAGCTTAAAATACAGTATGTACAATGTACTTCAACTTATTTTTGTTATAATCTATTGTCATTTTAAATATTTAATTGCAAATATAAAAAATAAAGCCCATAGCTATCATGATTACCTCAGGGAACAGAAGTGGAACATATTTTACATTTTTTAATTTTTTAAGAGGCAAACCAAAAATAACTTTATTCAAATACTAAAAATCCAGGGGGCCGGGGAGATGACTCAGTAGAATAAGCGCTTTCCCTGGCAAGCGTAAGAGCCCGAGTTCAATCCCCGGTTCCAAAAATAAATAAATAAATAAATAAATAAATAAATAAATATCCATATACATCTTTTAGTGCCCAAGTTTGTCAATGTTACTACTAAAATGCTATGGTGGGGGGCTAAGGGTGGGTGTTAGTGTTGGGGTTGAGAATGAGTAGAAGAACCAGGCCCTGCCATCTCTTCCTCCCATCCTATTCACTTTCCCTTTCTTCCCATCTCAGACAACAACCTGGATCCAAACTAATTTCAAGGGAGGTAAGATCCCAGAATATATATATTCATCTATAACCAATATAAGATTTTCCAAATCATACCGATTATTCTTTTTTTCATACCCATTATTCTTAATATCTTCAATATCAGTATCTTCAGTATCAGTAACAAAATATCTAACTAGCAGCCTTTTCTCCCCCTGAGACTAGGGATTGAACACAAGGTTTTTGCACTGAGCTGTATCTCCAGCCCTTTTTAAATTTTGAGAAAAGATCTCAGTGGCTAAATTGGCCAAGCTTGGCTCAAACTTGTGATCTTCCTGTTTCAACTCCCATAGACAGCTAGTATCACAAGCTTGTGCCACCACATCAGGCCAAGAACAGAAGTTTCTGAGTTGGAAATATGTGGATTCATGCCCCAATTTTCCACATGACAGCTATTAGAACTCTAGCAAGGCCCTTAACATTCGAGGCTCAATTTTCTCATCTGCAGCATGGGGATTTATTATCTTTTTCATAGGGTTGTATAAGAAATTAAATACAAGTAAAAGGGTTTGGTGCAGTGCCTGGAACTCTGTGAGTGTTCCACAAATAATACATTTTTTATTGGCCACTATTAATATTATCTTCATTCCCTAGAATACTATACATACATTCTAAATAGTAGCTCTAGGGAAATCTGAGGGTCGGGAGATTCAGCTCAGCAGACTGAGCACCTGCTTAGGCAAGAGCAGGGACCAGATCCCCATACTGCACACTGCATACTGCATGCTGCGCCGGCCCCACCCCTGGGCGCGCTGAGCTGGAGACAAGAGCCCAGGCGTGGTGACCCATGCCTGTAATCCCAGCACAGGGGAGGCTAAAAACAGGAGGATCACCACGAGTCTGCACTGTGTAGTGAGACCCTGAACAAGACATATAAAAAAAAAAGAAAAAATAACAACCCCACCCCTGGGCACGCTGACACAGTGACTGAAACTGGGCGTGTTGGCGCACCCCTGTAATCCCAGAGTTTGGGAGGATGAAAACAAGAGAATCACTATGAGTCCGATCTATATAGTGAGACCCTGTAGACCCTGTACCAAATACATTTTTAAAAAAGAAAAAAAAAAGATACATTAAAAAAAGAAAAAAAAATCTTTATGTACTGGTTCATAAAGATCTCTGTTAAGTGAAAAAAATGCAACTTAAAAGCCATAAGATAATCACACTTCTTATTAAAAATTAAAAAGATACACATGAAAATGCAATTAGAAGTGGTTGTTCATGGGTTAAAAATGAATTTGCTGGCAAAGGTGATAAAATTTATTATAAATTAATGTTTGAAAATGAGGGGGCTGGGGAGATGGCTCAGTAGAATAAACACTTGCCTGGCAAGCGCAAGGACCCGAGTTTAATCCCCGGTTCCGCAAAAAAAAAAAAAGGAAAAGAAAAAAGAAAATGAGCTTGTATTTTTAAAACTTTAACAAAGTGATTTTAAATATGACACAGCAAAATGTTAAAAGGTAAGTAAAAACATCAAAAGTTCTATGGACATGTACTTAATTACAAGGTAAAAAGGATGAGCCATATAGACACAATTACAAAGAGATCAAGATTATACCAATGGGTCTCAATTACCTCTTTGGTCTTTTATATACAAAAGAATTAAATTTTTAAAAAAATGAAGGGGGCCTGCCCCTTAGCTCAGTTCTTTAAGCCGCTGCTTCGACAAAGCAGTCAGGCTCAGGCTGGAGAGATGGCTCAGTGGTCTAAAGCACCTACTTGGAACAAGCTTGGCAAAGCACAGGGACCGAGGTTCGATCCTCCAGCACCAAATGCCAGCCAGCCGCGCCCCCCTGGTGGGCTGAGCTGGCCACACACACACACACACACACACACAATAAATAAATGTTAAAAAATTATAAAAAAAAAAAAAAGCAGTCAGGCTCAGGTTGCTGTGGTTCGATCCTCACAATTCAAGCCAGCCAATCCCACCCTGAAGTCATTCGGAGCAAAAAAAAAACCCTTCTGCTAAAAAAAAATGAAGAACTTTTCATTGTAAATGAATACAAAATTTGGCCTGTATTTTAAAATCATCTTTCACTTGATTTTGTTGCCTGACAAAGTTAGTTTTTTTAAAGCTTAAGCACAAAACATGTTCCTCACCTAACTTAGCTCTTTGGTCAGTATGATCTCACCTATAGGTGTTTTCCGTTGCTTGTTTTATTAATGATACATACTACCCAGTAGCCAGAACTCTATGACATGGTAAACACTTCCTAATCATATGGAAGTCTCTTACGAAATAAAACATTTGGGGAGAAAAAGACTACTAGATAGAAACTCTATCAACTAAATTACTGTTATCCCAATATTTTTCTTCTGAGAAAACTCAGAATACAAAAAAAAAAAAAAAGCAAAAAAAACCCCACAAAGATCAACAGAAAAACTGTTCTTTAACAGAATTATAATATACTTTAAAAGTTCACAAAGCATTAAAACCATTTTATTACAATACAATAATTTATAGTTTATAAGCAATTTCACTCTTCTGATAACTCCATTAAATAATTAAGGAATTATTCTTTCTTGCCTATAAGGCCCACCTTAAAGATACATGAAACTATAGAACCAAGGGTCATATCCCCAATCCTGAGTCTATATACTTTATCCACTCTCCTATATCACATATTAATTTAACATCACGTATTAATGCTGACATATTAATTACTAAGAGCAGTCACATTTCTTATCTCCTTAAAGCATTCATCCCAGAAATCTAGATCTCTTTGGTACCTCATTCTGAAAGGCACATCAGGCATGGGTCTTTTTTATAGACAACTCAGTAAGGTCAATAAACTTACCAAAGATGACACAACCAAAAATATTAAAACAGCAGTATAGTCAGGAGGATGCCCAACTCAAAGAATCAGAACACTAGGGACAGTGACTAAAGTACATAAGGATAAATGGGAAGGATACACACACACTTACATGCATACACAGGATTTCCATCATTAGACAGGTGAAAGGCCATCAAGATGTGTTCTGTATGGTTCTGGGAGTTAAAAATAAAGGCAACTCAACAATGATTCAACAAACATTCACTGCCATCCACTCTGTGCCAGATGTTCAGCTCCACCAGGAATACAAAGATGAATAAGACAGCGCCAATCTTCTGAAGTGCAGACTATCAAAGGAGACAAGAAAGTAAGTAATATGAGAAAGTACCCCAAAAGGTACAGAAACAGAGAATGAGGACTATAAAGACTCTGTGGAGAGAGGCTGGAAGAGTCACTGGTGGAATGGAAAGTTCAGAAGTGGATCAGGTGTGGTGGGAACTGACTTTAGCAGGAAGAACAGCATGTGCAAAGACCTGGAGACATGAAACTAGATTAGACTGGTGGAACAAAAGGTACATATCAGGGGTGCCAAAAAAATGCCTCACAATCTCATGCCAAGAAGTTTAGACTCCAAACTCAAGCTGGGGAACACTAAAAGAGATTCTAAGTGGGATAGTGGCATGATTAGGAAAATATTTGAGAAAGCTTAGTCTATCAAGAAGACAGATTCCTAGAGAATAACAGTGAAGACAGAGATTGACAGAGTCACAACTGCTAGTCCAGGTGGGAAGGAAGAAGAAAAACAAAATATTCACAAAACTGCCTACAAAAATAAAATAAAATAGGATATCATGTCCACATCTTGTACAGCAATTAACCACTAGGAAGAATGTATGCAATGTGTTAGTTATTGAAACTGTCCTACCAATTTGATTTGAAACTGTCTCATTGCTATTTGTTTATCAATAAAATTATGGGGAAAAAATAAACTTATGTAGCATAAAAAATAAAAACCAAAACTGCCTACAGAAATGAGAGAAAGGGGGTCATTTCGATCTCAACTTGGGCAAGCAGATGAACAGTAATGGTCAAGACAGGTAATATAAGATAAATCCATGCTGTCATTCCAACAATATGAGAGCTCTAATATGGAAATTGGCTGCTGGGGAAAAGAGATGAGGAAAGTAAGAGGGAGGAGGACCAAAGCCTACTGGTGAAGGGACCAAGTGGCATGTGAACAAGTAGACAGTCATTAACTTACAGGTAACAACTGAAAACAAGGTAAAAATAAAAAATGAGATAAACTTTAAGTAGCAATACTCCATGAGTGAGTGAAAGAAAAAGCTGAAAAAACTATGAATCCTTGAATGTAAGTAATGAATCAGATAATAGATTGATGGTGATTAAAGAAAATATGTGAGCATTACATTAATTGTACTGCATAAAGCAAAATTCTCTAGAAGTTTTTCAAAATAGGAATGGACTGCTATATGAGGTAAGGACTCATGTGTAAATGGCCTCCGGCAGAAGCTAACAGGTCCTGAACTGAGAAGACTTGCAATGCAAAGGATACACGGGCAAGCCAACCTTCCAACAATCTCTTCACTGATCTGCTCCTTCTTCCACCCTTCCAAAAAAGACTGTGTGCCTTCTCATTTCCAACCCTTCCCTGTGCTGACCATTTGCTATCTTCAGCCTTTCACTCTCCTTTCTCCACCTTCATATCTCCATACATTTACCCTAATATGCAAAAGCTGCATTTACCCTGTGCTCCCACATGTTTTTCTCTTATCTTTTACTACTAAATATTCCCTCTCTCCTATCACCCCTACAAAAAGATGTCGGAGTACTCCATAAAAATAAAATTTGACAAATGATATCTGATTTATTGAGAGCCACTCTAGCTCCAGCTCCAGGTGCTCCTTCCTTAGTTCTCCATTCCCCCCATCTCTTTCATCCTGTAGGACCCAAGGGAAGAATCCATTTACACCTTTCTTTCACTTTTGTAATGAGGTAAGGTCAACAGAACATACTGGAGACAGAGAACCACGAGATCTGTGTTCTAGACCTAATTACACCAATTAGCTGGAACTTCCACATCACCCCTCCAATTGAAATTCTGAGACAGCCTGACACAAACTAGGCAATTCTCCAGCATACTTTCTCAAAACCTATTCTCCTTTGTAGTATTATCACAATAACTTAATGTTATAATTACTAGCTGAATGAACTGCTATCACAGACTGCAAACACACTGAAGGCATAAAGCACATATAACTCGTGCATCAGTGCAAAATAAAACCCACTGATTAAGTTAATGTTGAAACATGTTAAGATCACTTCCTTAGACACTGTTCTCATACTGTTAACCTAAATAAATCACTAGCACTCATAAAATTACAAAACTTTAAGCAGAAACTCAACCTATTACCTCAAACACATATGTTCAACATATAATTTACAGGTAAAACTAGAGTAAGAAGAACTTTTTTTAAGATTACACTGTTCTTGCCCATTCCCATGTAAAGGTAGAGTTGGATCAGTTACCTACATTTCAGAACCTAAAGGTGTGCTAAATCTTGTAAAGGCTAAGTGTGCAAGTACACATCATGAAGAAGTAATCACAGTTCGACATTAACACTTTTTAGTTACCTATTTAGATTAATACTCAATGAATAAATACCCAGTGGGACTTTAAGTTTATAACTGTTTCTTGACACTGATAAGCCATGATGCACACATGCACTTCAGGAAAATCAACTTTATTGGCCAAGTCACACTTCAATATGATTTTAAAATATTTCATATAAATCTGGGTAAAACATGCATTGGTTTAGCAATTACAAGTTACCGTTGTGCCTGATCAGATGACTATCAAATGCAAAAATTTCACCACACTTGTTTTGTCAAGTTTTACGATATACCACCTTGATCAAACAATTTTAACAGGTTACAGGTTAATCTGTCCTTCAACAGTACTGCTCCTCAACTACACCCGGAAGACCTGACGTTTTCGTTAACTGGCTCCCTACAAACAGTAATGCAAGTAATTCCAGTGATCCATAACACACAAGAAACTGAAAAGGCCTTTCGGGGTTTAACATATGTATATACTGGCACTTGAAAACAATATAGAAGTACGTTAACATCCAATACTTGGGTAATTCCCTAGGTTAGGCGTGATTAACCGACTGTAAATATAGTTGCAATACCCAGGAAAGAAGCATTTCATAACAGAAACACTGAAAGACACAATCACTTGGAGCCGCTCTCCAAGTCGTCCCCCTGATTAAGTCAACACCACTGGTCTTAAGGGGAAGAAGCGTGTTCTCAAAACCCTCTTGGAAGACCGCAGACTCTGTTCCGATCTCTTCGTGAAGCGTCTCTCGGGACCCGCAGGCGTTTCCCCGGGGCTGCAGAAGCTGAAAAATCCCAGGCCAGGCAGAGAAGTTCGAGCCCCCTCCCCCTCCCGTTCCTGAAAATTAATGAATTGGCCGTACGATTGTTTATTTAATGAGGTGTGTAGTGGCCTCTACTGGTGCTAGTGTGCGCACAAGAATGTCCCACTCTTACAAGTGGGATGAGCCTGGGGGAGGGGAGCAGGCGAAGGGTGAACCTGCCTTCGGGGTACAAAGCTTAGATCCAGACCCTAGCGCCCCGACCCTGCTCCGCGGAGCCCCCTCCCCCAGCCCACCCTCCCCACGCGAACCTCCCCTTCTCCCCAGTCCCGGGAGCCGAGGCGGAGAAGTTCCCGCACGTTCCCTCCTGGATCCCGA